GCTTCTTCTGACTACGAGGTGCTTTATATGTGTGGGTCTGCAGCTACGGTTATTTGATGTGACTGACTGTGGTTGATGCTTGCGCATACTGTGTAGCCTGATTCCTCTGGTGAGTCGTCAGACGTGCCCTCAACGGCTCGCCACCACGTGGCGTCTGGTACGAACTCGGATTCCGGTGAGGTTTCCACGGACATGGAGAGTGTGAATCGTCCAGGTATTATCCAGGTATTGGAAAACTCCGTGGATGTGACTGGCCCGGTCGACGCTCCTTATCCAAGTTGGGTTGCATGGACCTCGTATCTGAAGAAGTACTCATTGGAGACACGCCAGATCATCCGGGTCTTCGGCACTTTAAGTTGCGATGATGAGTGATACCGAGACCTTGTTCATCCCAGTCATTTTCGGAAACAGGCACTGGTGTGCTGTCATTGTGGATGTTAAGGGAAACGAAGTCATGTATTACGACTTCATGAACCAGAGGTCATACAAGAGTGTACTGGACCGGTTGTCGTGGGACTTGGCTGAAACTTTTGAGCGATGGCTACCAGGTGATCGCTATCAACTCGCCAATCCAGACAGACGGCCACTACTGTGGCTTCTACGTGATGCTCAGGTTCTGGCGCTACATCGACAGAAGTGTGTCGTTGGAGTTAACCCAGAATGGACTCACGCTGCTGCGGTTCCGCATCCTGCAGCTTCTGCTCAAGGGTAGCATTCTAAACTGACTAATTAATCGATTTCATTTCACTTTTTCTATATAATATCTCTCTCCATTTATTATGCTTACACGGATAATACCGTCTTATCGTAGTCATAGGCGACAACTCACCAACACGATCTTTTGGCATATGATCTACAAATCATAAAAATAATCATTCCGCGTCAAATTTTTAGTTACTTTAAGATCTAACTATCACCATCGCTGTCACTACTGCTGCATTCACTCCCAATGCCGTCATCAGATTAAACGACTGTCTCGGCTAGATCATATCTTTCTAGCAAAGTGATGATACGTTCGGTGTCTAGTTCAACGGTCTCACCTTCTGCTGGAGCACGAGTATCCATAAGCAGACCAGCACCCGAAAAACCACTCCAAATGGTCGAGGATGACAAAGCAGACCAACTCGACGAGATCCACTTCGTCATATCCGTTCTGGACGGTCCAGCTAATGAAAACCTTTTTTTCTTTATACTTGCTTCGGAGATCAGCAACCCGTTGGTCAGCTTCTTCCTTGTGGTAGTTCTTTCGAGTACTTAAAATTGCAGCAGCCAATTCAGCACTTTTTTCTTGCCGATTTTTCTCGCCTTGGTGATAGTTTGTAAGCTGATCTTTAAGTCTATTAATCCAAAGTCCCCGTAAAAAGCCTTTAAAAGGCTTACTCCACGAAATATCAGCAGGCTGACATACATAGGTATATCTGGGAGGAACTTTCAGAAGCATAATGTTTAATGCAGCAGCGTATCTGGTTACTTCCTCAGTCCAGTGGCCGCTAAAATCATCCCATAGCAAGAGGATTTTGTCATGTAGGTCGTCACGGTGTGCGAAATGAAATTCTAAAAACTTCAGCGACAACTCGCTATTCCACCATTCTGTTTTATTGCCGTAAATCTGACACGGATACTGTCGTTGAAGGCGCGATATTTCTCGCCACGTCGGTTCTCCAAATCCATGCCGAAGTTCATTATTCTCGACTTGTTTGTCAGCTTTCTTAGCGGGTGCACTTTTGAAAATGATAAAAGGATCGTACTTAACTCCACATGAATCCCCAAGTAGCATTACAGTAGCGCGTTTTTTGTCTTTATTAGCACACTTGACCCAAACTGTCTTGGCTCCCTTCGTGGATACTGTCTTTTTAGGAACATATTCGAAAAATACAGCTAATTGATAGTTAGATTGAAGTTATGTTCAAACAATGTATCAAAATATCAAATTCCTACCCGTTTGATCTGCATTGAATATTCTGGTGCAGTTCTCTTCAACGACAGTTCGAAGCACCAATGCACGAAAATCTCGAGTCGCCTCAGCTGCATCTTCTGGTGTAGTCTGTCCCTGGCGAGTTCTTGTCCGAAGGGAAAGCTTGTGCCGCCTCAAGAATAGTTGCATCCAAGTGGCTGAAGCTGCAAATTTTTCAAGGGGAACACCATATTCAGAGGCTATCTCTTTGGCTTCTGTCGCTAGCATGAAGCGTGAAACGGGCACGCCTTGCTGCCTGAATCCGTTAATCCACTGAACAATTTCGGCCTCAGCCTTCTTGCTCAGTACTGTAGCATCACCTAGTCTTCTCCCCTTATGATGACCACCTCGTCCTGATTCGCATGCCTTTCTTATTGTTGTAGCAGCCTTTCGCCACTTACAAATTAGTTTCTCCTTGGCTCTGTGTTCTTTTCTAGGTAGTTCTCCGCAAAAGTGCTTAATGCACTCCTTAACACTGTGCCCATCATCCAAGTAGTCGAGATAAGCTTTTTTATCGCCGTACGCGACTGACACGCGCTTATACTGCTTGCGGCGCTTGCCTTTCCCCGTGATGTAAGGTCGACCCATGCCTTACGAAATCA